AATGTCGGTCATGGGAAAGACATACAATGATTCAATCGGTTTGCTATGAAGGGGGTGCAGCTACCACAAGGGAAGGATTCGCACAACCATGTACACCTCTCCCCATCTGCAACACGCTTGGGGCAAAGTATAGCGAGGGTTAGTTTAAAGCAAGCATGTGATCAAGTGTCATGGAGCTGAAACCGGGTCCATGGAGGCAAGTCTACGGGCTCGGGGTGGGTTGGTTTTAGGATGGTTCCCGGGTGTGCTGTAGCTTGAATATGGCTGACTTGGCGTGGGTTTAGGGCTGGTTTGGATGTCAGATACGGTTGAGCGTGGCTTGGCATTCTCGATTTTGCTGCAGGCTTGACGTCTTTGTGATGATTTTGGGCCGCTTCAAAGCCAGACGCTGCAATAGCACACACACATATAGATATGTGTTCGTTCAGCAAGAAGCGAGGACCCCCCTTTGAATAGCAATTTGATTCCTGGCGCATCCACGCTCTGGGCATTTGGTCCTTGAAGCACTTTCAATGGCGCACTGAGGTCCTTGATTGGTACTAGTCTTACTCCCCAGCTTTCTGGACTTGAAGCTTTTGTTTGGAAGTCCGTTTTCGTGGTACATACACAGTTTTGACGTTTCGGCCCATCGACTCATAGCGTTCCCATTTGGATCAGGCAACTCACAGCTATGATCAGCTATGTTTATTTATGTTTGGTACTGTCAGTTTAGGCCACGCCGTGTTTCTTCTCCGGACGAAGGGGACGTGTTTCGAGTGTGCTCGGATCATGTTTTCTTTCAGGAACCCTACATCAGCAAATGTTAAGCATGGGCATTACGATGTATTTGTTCACCCAGTGATGGGACGTCGTGAGAATGTCCCATTGCGGTAACTATTCCGTACCGCAACCATGTGAAGTATGCCACCAACTGACATGCAATCTATCATCTCTCAGGGCATTCATCCCATAGGCACAAAACACACTGAAATGTATCCACCCCCTTGCCAGCCACATCAAATATTCGCGTCGCCGCGTCGGCAGACTTGGGTGGCCCAGGCGCCTCAGACGACGGCACGCTGCGGGAGTGGAGCTTTCAGGGCGACGCGCTGCGGAGCTTCTCTATGAAGGGCGGCGTGCAGTGCGTTGAGGCGTGTGCGTCAAATGACCAGGGCGCTTCAGCGGACACAGACAGCAAGACTGCAGGCCAATTTAAGGTGAGGCTCCGCACTGGTTTCACCGGGCGCTTGGGGGAAGTAGTCTGGACTGCGTTTGCAAAACGGACACTTGACGTCAATTCCCCAAGAAGGACACCAATGGGGATGGACAGTTAACGCTTGTTACCAGACTGCCTGTCGCGCGCCCGATTCAACGACATTCTGAATATAGTATGTATATATATAATATACATGTACAAAACAAAGCTAGCGTACTAGCTTACTAGCTTACTTACAGAATTGCGGAAGCACACCTTACATGTCTTTGAAAAACAGAGCCGCTTGGGCGATGGTCAACTTATGTCAGTCGGGTAAAGCCACCTGAAAGGCTTTGCTGACAACAGCCATGTGAGTCTCGTCGCCGGTGCTTGCCATTCGCCAATTTTGATTGATCAGCGACCACATGTAGGAGCACTTCTGTTCGCCGAGTGAGTGGATCTTAGTTTCTTTGCTGCCCTTTGATTCACCACAGTCTCTCATCCGATAATTTGATGCATTCCACTTGCACAGATTCCAGCGGCGCAGGTCACAGATGCTCTCATCATCGCGGGAGATAGTTCCGGCCGGGTTGGCCAAGTGTAGCTTCTTTGGTGGGGCCAGGTGGCTGCCGCGGATGCGAAGCATGCGCCACTTGTTGTCGTGGGGGGTTCCCTTCTTTGTGGGGGAATCCTTTCTTGCAGGGGGACCTCCCTGATGAATAACTGGGTGGGTTTGTTGATCAGAGATCAGCATTACTAGGGGGAGCCAGTAACGTGAGTTTGATGGATTTTGTTTGCAGAGACAGGTGGAATGAGTTGCCTGCCTTTCAAGGTCGTCGATCAGCATACATTTCTAGCTGTGCTGCCCCATTTGGTCCAGGGATCGTTTTGGTCAGAAAGTGGCTAAATATCTAAGGACATCTTTTTTTTTCTCTCAAAAAGAGGCATGGAGGAAGAAAAGGGATTCTGTCTTTGTAATTTCGAACATGCCATCATGCTTGTCTCCGACCCAAGCCTGTGAACAAACAGAGTGCTGAAAGTCATCCTGGATATGAGTTCCAGAAGAACGGGCTTGGGATCCCAACCCCAGCCTTATGCGGGCCGGCGTCGTATTCAGGTATCTTCCATGGAAAAGGGATTTGATGAATTTGATGTGTATCAACATGAGTTGGGCCCGCAAAAGCCATATCGCCCCAACAGCTGCTTGGCACACCCTCACAAGTTTGTCTCCAATAGTGGACGTCTCAAACGGACAGCTCAACACTGGGTTTTGACTAAAACAAGCTCAAATGGGAATTCCTTGGCAAAAGATGACAAGCCCACATTCCTCGCTCTCAGGCCCCATTCTTTGGAAACGTCAGCTGAGGCCTATTGAGGGTTTGGGCTCGGTCTTCTGGGGAGGCTGTGAGAGACATCCAGGCCAGGGCAACGCAAGCGGGGGGAAGGCTCACATTTGGGCACGCCTTGCATGTGGCAAAAGGCTGTCCCCTCATCCATTTTGGCACCGTTCTGTTTGGAGCTGGAAACATGGCATTGGAATTCGTTTGCTGCATGTTTGTTGGTGCATCTCGTAACTTTCATATCTTATGATCTAAGCCGGGGCGGCTTGATTCTGCAGTTGTCATCAAGTGGACGCGCCGGGCGCAGCTGGCCACACGTTGATGCAGCCCCAGCCCAGTCCCGGGCTTCCTTACCTGAAGCAAGCCCCCACCCCAAGAACTTGACCTGTTCTCAGCCCCTTGCCCCGGAACTATGGCTGTAGCTCTGGTGAAAAACCCTGAACCTGGCCTCAATCCCTGCGCCCACGCTGCCGAGCCCCTCTCATCAACAGTGGTTGATAGAAAAATGTTGGGCTCGATTTCCAGGGCGTCCCACGACTTTGCGTGCGAGCCTCCACTTTGTTAGCCTGCCAGGTTTTGCTCCGGGCTTTCTAGATCCCGCTGAGTAGAGGCCACCTGAGCCAAGCCTTGCCATCTGCAAGCGGCCGCTTGGTTTCTCCTGTAACATGATGTTCAAAATTGTAGTTGACTCTCGTCATTGGCGAGGTCCGCTGTTTTCCCTGTGAGTCGCATGCTCTTCCTCCACCAACGCGCAACATGAGCGACGGCATTTGGAAGACACCCTCTCCACGCGACAAAGGGCCTTCTGTCAAACTTCGTGTTGGTCGGGGATATCAAACCAGAAAACCTGGCTTGCTAGGTGGCCACCAGATACGTCAAAACGATCCTCGTGTCTGGGTACCACGTGTTCACCGGCGATTACTGCAGCTTGGATCCGTTTTTTGTTTTTTACCGCGAGGACCATTGGACAGTTCGGCAATTCCTTCCGCAAAGGGGTATATAGGTCCGGTTACGGGTTTGGGCAACTGTTGAAGGGAAGTTACCAATGACAGTCCCAAATCTGCAGATTTCAGGCATTTCGACCCTACAAACGCTGATCTGTATCTTATTGGGATGTGCAAGGTTTTAGCGGCTGCGTTTGAAGCTTGGACCCTGAACTGTTCGGCCTGTTGCGCCTACAAGCTCAAGGAAATTCCACAGATTTGGTGTGTGCGTGTGTGTCATGGTGAGCCTCCGGCCCCTTTGAAACTGAACGAACATGGGAGTTCCGATTGTGATGCACACCCTCGATTGGCTAAATTGGTTTGCTTTGCAACTTCACCTTTGGTAGGACGAATTTCCATTGAGGTGAAGGTTCCTTCGGAGGTCTCATGGGTCCCTAATGGCAGATTAAATCAATTGGAGCTGCGACCTTATGCTAGGTTTTGGAAGCTGACAAAGTTGACAAGAGCTGAGGACAGATGAGAAGTTGAGTTGGGTGTGGGGGAACATGTGTCAGCAGAGCTTGTTTCAATTAGGTAAACGTGCAAGATTCAGCCAGTTGGGATCTTGGAAAGAACGCTTGGACCGAGAGTCGAGCAACGCCAGGCAAGTTGAAAAGCAGTCCCAGTTTTGGTTTGGTTTAAGGCGCGTAATATGCAGCTGTCAGATCAGCATAGTATGTGAAGGTAGAAGTATGGAACCAAACCTTTCTTGGAGAGGATCGAGTCTTGGCCTTTCCGTCACCCTCACTTACCGAGGCAACCTGGTGCAACAGTGGAACCTGGTCACCGGCCAGTGTGAGGCAAGGGGGGCAGTTGGCGGGCTCTCTGGCGGGACCCACTGGAAGTTGTTCTGTTGATATTATCCTGTTTGGGTCTGGGTGTGATCTGAAGATGAATTGAAAGGCACACCATTATATAATCTTTGGGTTTTCTTCGAAGTGCCCGGCTATTGTTGTCATGTGCTTGGTACTGGGATTCATGGGGTCCCTGTGTGGTGTTCCTTGCATCCCAGGAGAACCAAACCCCTCGATTTCTCCCTTTGGGTGGCTTCCATCAGGGATGAAGAAGACGGTTGGTTTTCAGTTTCCAGTCGAGCGATTGTTTGAACTAGGGGAACGCCCCAAATGGGTTGACATGGGGTTGTGTTGTGTTTTTTTCAGGGTACCCTTTTTGAACCTTGGATGAAATGGACACCAAGCGGCAACCCTACTTTGACACATACCCAGTCAAGCATACCCACATAAACCAAAGCCAGTGAGAGCCCCTGTAAAAGAAACACTCAGCGAAATTTCAGTGAACAGTTTGAGTTCAATGTAGCGGCCCATTTTGAGACTCTGTCTTTTTGCATGCTTGCCCAACACATTGTCACTAATTTTGTCAACCCACCTATCTTTTTTTTGACGCAAGCTTGCTTTGGCAGCTGGCAGGTCATTGAGAAAGCAACACGCACATGTTTCGAGGCAAATCAGACCGCTCTGAACATGAACATGCACGCCCCTCAAAAGTGGGATTTCTGCGACACATGGGCGCCTTGTTGCGGTTCCTTTTGTCTATCTGCCGAGCTTGCAGGGGACAGGTCTTAGGTGACTGTTCGAAAACGGACTCCTCCAAGTTCATGGGACCCGCGAGTTCTGAAGGGGTTCCAGTTTGCACCAAAGGACAATCGCGTGTGCATCCTGGAGCCCATGTGTCAGAAGCCATTCAACCGGCCGCACGTTTGACTGGTTTCGTTCAGGCTTTCCTTTAAGAAGCCATACGTGAGCATGACCACACGTATTAGATCACCAGGACATATCAACCGACTTTTCGAAGATGTGTTTCTTGGTTTCAAGGGATTCCTGCGCACCGAACCATGTTCGGGCGAGGGTACCTAGAAGCGCATGATCTCCTCAAGCGGGCGTGTTTCTTTGAGAGTTGGTAGCACTTTTAGGTTATTTTACGGGGAGCTACAAGGAGACTGAAGCCCTGCTGTGCATGTTCTACATCCCATGGACAGCACCCAAGTCATAGGTGCCCTAGGTCAGTATGTTGGTGTCAGTTTGATTCTAATCATTTGCCAGTGCCATTGGGTAATCATGTGTCAAAACATGGCGGCACCCCCCCAAAAAAATGATGTGTTCCTGTGGTTCCGCTTCACACCCACCTGAAAAGAGTACCCTCCAAAACACATGCGTTGTTCCAGTGGAACTCCTACCAAGGTGCAGTTTCGAGGCCATCAGGCTGGGGTGATCTCCCTGGCCATGGCAGGCGGGATGTGGGGCTGGGGATGAATCGGCGTGCTCGAAAGGCGCATGCCTCGTTTGGTTGAACAGGAGAAGCAAAAGGGGATGGGTAAGTTGCTCTAATCTTTCCAGATCCCGCTATTCAGCACTCAGACTCTGACACTTACAAGCTCAATGCAGGGTTGAGAAGGAAAGACATGTACAAAAGCAGCGCCGTTGATTTTTTCAACCTGGGGACCGCCAGCAACTGAAGGTACTAGTACTGGTGTGGCGCTGTTTTTTTTCAAAAAAAACTAGGGTGTTGGATGTCAGGTTCGCCTTACTTGAAGCAAAGCCGAAAGTACTAGATGTTAAGTGGCACCCTTTTTCCAACAGAAAAGCCTAGGGCAGAAGACTTTCGGGTGCACCGTAAGATCAAAGTCAAACGCAACATGAAAGCCTAAAACGCAGACCCATTTGTAATGGCATCATTAGGCAGTCTCCAAACAGGACCTTTTGCCTGTCCGGTGGGTTTCCCGTTTTCCTTTCAAGAGGTCCAGGAAGCGAAGGGGGAAGTTCCGCAAAGACTATCGATGGGTATGGTCTTGCACTCAAATAGGAATTGGATCCCCATGGCGTACACGGAGTTCCTTACGCACAGGTTCTTATACAGTCTCCTTCAAACACTCCTTCTACAGGGTTCCTTATAAAGGGCTCCTGTACCTACACGGTTCCTAGCAACGATTCCTAACGTGCCTCTCTCTCTCTCTCATGAAGCAAAACACCTTGTAGGGGGCATTGGATTTTGTCGCTCGGAGGGGACTTGGCATTTGGCGTTTGGCGTTGCGGACTGTAGAAGGGCAAGAGTCACCGAGCTACTTGCCGGATGAAGGAGCCAAGGCCTTCGCGAATGGCTCGACATGTCCGGCAGACTTTCAGGTGTCCAGAATATAGATAGCGACTGGAGTTGGCAGGGAGGTGACAATGAAGTATTGGCTCCGGCTTTGGCTGAAGCCTGGCTGCTGAGATTTTGTTGCAATTTCCCGGCAAGAAATTGCATGCTGGAAACTGCCTGCAGGCGCCTTGGCAGAGCAACGTCTGCCAGCTTTCGCGTGAGCTCCATGTCGCTTACCCGCAAAACCGGAGGCGACTACCTCGTGGCCGGGGGCGGCAACGGGGACGTTTTGCTCTTCGACCGCAACAAGGGCTCCCAGGAGGGCGACCTCCTGGTGGTTGAGCCTGTGGCCTGGCGTATTTATGGAGGTTTGGGGCCATCTCCTGGTTTAAACTTGTTTTAGCCACGATTGTTTCAACCTCAAAAGAATGAGTTGCCTGGCAAATAGTTTAGGCCTCCATTTTCCCTTGCGCTAGGAAAATGGAATGTCCGCACCTTTCTCACTTCTACATTGATTGGGCCTTTGTAGCAATGGAAACAAATGCCATTGCATCATGACAGGCCTTCTGGATGCGCATTTGTGGCCCCCTAGCTCAAACATGTTGTTTCGGTTTTAATTTGGAGCTAGATCTGTTGATGGGGATCCCTTGAGCAGTGTCAGGCACCTTCTGTCAACTCCATCAAACAATTTCTTCGCGTGCTCCCGCAAGCCACCAACACAAGTCGCAACCAATGACTTCATAATTAAGTTCTGTGTTGGAGCTTGAACTTTGAGAGATGTGATGCCTGAACCCAAGTGTGGGATTGACATGAGAGAATGTGCTTGTGGAACCCGGGTGACATGCATGTGCCGCCTTTCAGCGCATTTGATTCTGAGGCGGCCAAGATTTACAAGGCGCGGCGCAAGTTCGATTGAAAAAGGAAAGGGCCCTCATCGTTTCATGACACACGTGCCGTGGTCGACGCGAAGTGCCGTAAGGGTCCCTGTCCCACAAATAACACAACGCCCATGTCGCAGACCAGGAGTTTCGGCACAGGAGTATTCGGCAAAATAATCGATAGTCTTGGTAGTGTTCGGGGCGCCTTGGCGATAGAAAAGTCCGCAAAACCGACAGGGAACGACCCCAAACCTATACCTCAAGATAAAGGACGACTCAGCTTCCTCATTGCATTGAGTTTGGGAAAGAATGCTGTCTCCTACTCATATCATAGTGAGCCACGGACGCAAAGGTTTCGTTGTCGTCGTCGTCGTCGTCGTCGTCGTCGTCGTCGTCGTCGTCGTCGTCGTCGTCGTCGTCGTCGTCGTCGTCGTCGTCTTTCTTGTTGTTGCTGCTGTTGCTGTTGCTGTTGCTGTTGCTGTTGCGGTTGCTGTTGCTGTTGCTGTTGTTGTCGTCGTCGTCTTTGTTGTTGTTGCTGCTGTTGCTGTTGCTGTTGTTGTTATCGTCGTCGTCGTCGTGGTCGTCTTCGTTGTTGTGGCCGCAGTAGTAGCAGTTGTTTTTGGTTGTTGTAGTGGAAGTGATAGTGGTAGTCGTGGTAGTCGTGGTAGTAGCAGTAGTAGTGGTAGCAGTAGTAGCCGTAACAGCAGCGGTAGCGGCAGTGGTGGTGGTGGTGGTGGTGGTGGTGGTGGTGGTGGTGGTGGTGGTGGTGGTAGTTGTGGTTGTGTTTGTTGTCTTGGTAGCAGTGCATCGTGGCTTGGAAGGATGAACCCTTACATTGACATGTCTTGTTTCGAATTTGGGAGATTCTGCTGGTTTGGCCTCAAGCTGTGCAGCTGCAGACAGATGGGCCGCCTGGTGCCTTCCAACCAGGTTGTGGTAGCAGTTTCTCTCTCAATCGCAGCCATACTGAGTCTCTGGTGTGGGGTTTTTAAGTCGAGAGTCTTCGCATCGTTCGAGCAGCGGACAAGCGTTGTTACTCATACAGAGGTCGTTAGATTGGTGAGTGCACCATGGACATCGCCAATTCCACCAGGATGGACGCGCTTCGTTTGCTTTAGTGATACGCATGGCCGTCACTCCTCCATTCCCAGAGAGCACATACTGCCAGCGGATGTTTTGCTGCACGCAGGGGATCTCACCAACACTGGAGAACTTGAGCAAGTTCAATCCTTCAACAAGTGGCTGGAAGATTACCCAGCAAAGGAGAAAATCGTGATTGCTGGCAATCATGACATTACCTTTCAGGAGGACTACTACATATCGCGTGGGGCCCAGCGGTTTCATGGCGAGGCTCGCTACAATTGCAGCAAGGTCAAGCTATCCCTCACTTGCTGCACTTACTTAGAGGACACGTCTGTTGACGTGAACGGCTATCGGATTTACGGGTCTCCCTGGCAACCCGAGTTTTACGACTGGGCCTTCAACTTGCCACGCGGCGAGCCGCTGCGGAAGCGTTGGGCCGACATACCGGTGGACACTGACATTCTTTTGGTGCATGGCCCACCAGCTGGATATGTGGACATCACCCCTGTAGGTCGAAAAGGAGATGCAGATTTACTGACAGCTATTCAGCTCCGCAGCATCCCAGTTGTGGTGAGCGGGCACCTGCACATGGCGCACGGCACAGCGACAGATGGCACTACTTTGTTTATAAATGCTGCCACTTGCACTGAGGAGTATGTTCCCATACAGCCGCCCATCGTTTTCGACCTGGCGCCTGCGGAAGAACTCAGGAAATCCATCAAGAAGGGTGGAGAAAGGATGCCGTAGGTGAAGGATGAGGCATTTGGACACTCACAGCAAAGCCCTTCCATGCGCATCTTACCCACTGCCGGGAGGCGTGTCCAAAATGAGTTTCATTTGCAGCAGTCTTTTTGTGAAGTGGTCTTGCCGGATTGATCAGAAGGGCCCGTTTTCATATTCCAAGCAAAGTTCCACGGCCACTTTTCAGGTTACAGGGTGGCGTGGCAAGTGGACTTGGGAAGGCAATCTTGGGATGGTTGAGCTGCATTGTGGACATCCACAACTGGTGGAAGTTCCCATTGATGCTGTTATCGCTGTGAACTTGCGATCTTGCTCAGGAGCCTTCAAGCGTCCCGCCATTGATCCTCCCTTTTCTCCGCTCAGTTGAGACAAGGTGATGTTGTTCTTAGGCTTCCCAGTTGGGCTTGTTTTGGAGGCAAACTAGGGCAGCCAAACCCATGTTGGGGTTTCCAGTACTGTATTAGTTTAACCAGTCTTGTTTTTTGGGGCGGGCATACCCCATTATTTAGTGACACCACCCATTGTGAGGGTTCCATACCTTGTTGAGAAGCCCCACATTCCGCAGGCCAATGGCTTCGTGTGCAGCCTTACCATCTGCGAGGACCGGCTGCTGGTGCCCGACCGCGACGAGCATAAGGCGGGCGGACGCTGAAGGGATGCATGGGGTTGGGGTACTAGTACTACCTACTAGTATACTGGCTACTACCCACTACTACCTACTAACTACGACCTAGTACCTTCTACCTACTGGCTACTACCTACTACCTACTACCTACTACCTGCTACCTGCTACCTGCTACCTCACTACTACTACTACTGCTGCTGCTGCTGCTGCTGCTGCTGCTGCCACTGCTACTACTGCTACTGCTACGGCTACTGCTACTGCTACTGCTACTGCTACTGCTACTGCTACTGCTACTGCTACTGCCACTGCTACTGCTACTGCTACTGCTACTGCTACTGCTACTACTACTACTACTACTACTACTACTACTACTACTACTACTGTACCATCGCTTCCACTACCACTACCAATTCCACTACCGCTACTGCCACTACCACTACCACTACCACACAGCGCTACCACTACCACTACCACTACCACTACTGCCACTGCTACTGCTGCTTTTTCTCTGCTCTGCTCTGCTGTTTCTGCTCCCACCAGTACTGCTACTGGTACTGCTTGCTTCGCTTTGTTGCTGCTACTAGCTCCGGCTACTGCTACCGCTCCTGCTACTGCTGCTGCAGTTGCTCCTCCTAATTCTGCTCCCACTGCTACTATTGCTTCTACAGCCGCCGCCTGCTGCACAGGACACACTATTCACACAAGCCTGAATGTTGACAGGAGGCAGCCTGGTTTTTTCCTGGAATGTCGTGTTTGCTCTTTTTTCAGTATGCTCCGACTAGCAGGCATGTTTTCTGCCACTTCTCATGCGAGTCCTTCGCAGGAGGTGCGAGGCAGGAACGCAGAGCTCATTATATACCTTTGTGTGTTTTCCCAAATCCAGAGGTGCCCTCCTAGGCATGCTTCGCAAGGATATGAGACTTTATCCGGGACTGTTGTGATGATGAAACTGGCAGGGGATGGCCCAATTCTCGCGCTGCTGACAGAGTGGCACGCAGGCAATTTCGGGGAGAAAACGACAGACAGCTCCAGCGACAATCTAATCCTTGATGTGATTCTGGCCAGACAAGCCTTCTATTTTGCAACGCTTGAAGCACTGCTACATTCACAATTGTTGCCGTGGGGTTTGACTTGTTGGAGGGAGTAACACAATGCATTGCGCAGGTGGTCAGTATTCGGCTTTTCTCCGCTGTCACGTATGACTTGACCCCGGAGAACATCCGAGATGTGAGGCAGGATTTGGGACTCGGCCACATCATATTTGGGACAGTGTGCCTAGTGAGATACCTTTGCGGTTGTTTGATTCCTGTGAATACCTTGGTTGGCTTAACATCTTACTTGACATGTTATTTGATTTGTTGGTAATCAAGCTGTCCAGGAGCGAACACAATGTCAATCAACATGTACAGGCGTTGGGGAATCCTGAAACTTGCAAGTTCTACCCTCCAGAACATCCACTGATGTTTACATGGTGCAACCCCTTCACAAACCCGTTCGTCCTCCAAAGTTCCGCGCCAAAAGGAACTCTTGCAAGAGTAGCGTTCCAACCTATGGGGATTGCGACATGCATCAATATCAGTCGATGTACCTCTTTCATTTTCCTTTCAACATCGTGCAACGTTCAAGTCTTCGACCTTGTCCCAGGGCCAGCCCCAGGGCCAGCCCAGGGCCAGCTCCACATTTTCGGAAAATCAAGAGTTTCCGCTACGGCGCATAGCTTCGCTGTCAGTGGGCTAACAGGAGGCATCGGCGGATTAGCAGGAGTCCGCCTCAAAAGTGTCAAAGACCACTTGCAGTAAAGGTGCTTTTTCCGTGTCTGGATTTTGAGGGTTTTCCTGGGAAAGCGACTGGGGCTCACAAAAACATGCCCCTCCAGATCTTGGCAGGACCTACAAATGCGGGATGCCCGTTTGGCAAGCCGCCGCCACTGACGGCTTCGTGCTGGGACTTTGCCGCGACTTCACCGCTGCGCGACCGAAAAGGATTAATGATCCGGCCGGGAGGTTGTTCCCTCAGGGCACACGGGCTGAAAAAACAACCCCGCGCCTTTTCGTTGTGTAAGGGGCCGTCCCTTAGCTTGTTTTGCAGGCAAAAACCATTGTGAACTGATACAGAGGAAGAAACAAAAAACGATACCCCCAGAAGCCATGAAGACACACATCAGGTCCAAGTTGTTGTCGCACACCCAGATTGCGGAGTCATAAATTTGCGGGGCCCAAACCGATACCCAAACCGATACCCAACCGATACCCAACTCATTAGCCGCCATGCCGAATTTAACCAGCTGCCCTGCAGCCTTCCCTGGAGCTGCCCAAATGTACTTTGTGTACTACATTTGTACTGAAAAGTTGAGACTTCCGCGCTGGAGCTGCCAAAATGTACTTCGTATACTACACTGCACTACACTTACTTGCACTGCAAAGCTGCGACTTTCGAGGCGGATCTGCCAAAGTGTACTGCATGTACTACTGAACAGTTTCGACTTTCTAGCTGGAGCTGCCAAAATGTACTTTGTGTACTACACTTGCACTGAAAAGTTGCGACTTTCGAGCTACAGCTGCCAAAGCACTCCAAACCGATGCTGAGGAAGAAAACCGATACTGACCGATACTAGAGCATAAGGATATAAGGGTTGTCCACGGGGTTGTTTTTTCAACCCACATGGGTTTATGTCAAATAGGGGAACCCAAACTGGGCGCATGTTGGGTGGTTTGCTTTGGTTCCCTTACAAAACCAAGGGGCTCCGAAAAAGACAGACCCGTATCCGCAAAGGGCTCACTACTTGTGACAGCGACGGACGTGTTGCCACCTTACTGGTTTGGCAGGTTTTAGTTTCAATCCAAAGGCACCTCTGAGTGTGTACCACCTGGGGAACCGAGCAGCAAGGTCTCCTAGCGGCAATGTTTCAAGCATCAATGTCTCGAACTCCCACGCAGACCACGCACAACATCCGTGCTACCCTCTGTGTGTAAAATTTACGATCTCTTTGGTTGCCTTTGATACAACCATTCTTCTCCGCCAAGTCAATTGGTCCTCCTTTCCCAACCGTTTCCCCTTTCCGTTTGGCGTGCTTCCCACGAAAAATGATCGCCCCAAAAAACTGGTTCCCTTTTCCTGCCAGGTCACTGGCTGCCACTGGGGTTTTGAGTTTAGTGTTGCTTGGCAGCGTGTGGGTCGCTGGTTGGTTTGCTTAGGTGAAGAAGTTCGCGGCGGGGTCTCGGCAGCTGCTGATGACCATCAAGGTGACGCCTGCGGCCAAGGACAGGGAAACTCACCCCCAGACCCCACGGGATTGGATACTCTGTGTCTGTTTGTTGTATCGTGGCTGTATGGTTCAGTTCTCTTAGTTCTCTTTGAGGGCTTGGAACCTTGTAGTGGAACATTCATCTCAGAGCGACTTTGTTGTAATCTGAACTTTCAGCTAGCTCACCGTGATGCCCAAGAGATTGATGCCTATGTCCAGGGCTTGATCACTCGGTGTATCCATCCCAAAAAGTGGCCCTATAAGCAAAAAATGGTTTGCTCAATGGCCGAGGAGGCAAAGAACCCCTACGCCTTCAAGGTGGCCGGGCCCAGGCGGAGCCGGCTGTTTTCCAGAGACGGGATCCGACATCGAAGACAGGGTAGAAGAATTTGCGTGTAGGGTCAGGATCTCCCTCGGACGTCAAAACAGGCCTTTTTGAGGGTTCGGGACAAGACTAAATCGATGCCGAGCAGCACCACGGGAGCGCAAGGCAGTTGTAAACTAGGAAAGTAATAGAATTCATGGCGCCTTCCCCTGATGTGAGCTCGGAAGTGGCCGTGTTGAATGGTTTACAGGCCCAGAACAGGACCACAGAGGGCCAATGATTCTAAGCCCCAATGTGTTTGGTATTTGTTTCTGCCTTCTGACTACCGCCAACGGGTTGGACACCCTTCGTTGATCACTACATCACTGCTCATTATTGCCGCAGTCCCCTAAAATCATCACACCAATGGAACTAAATTCACTTGAACATACCAATAATAGAAGAGCTGATGCCGAGCCACCACACAAAAGGATGGGGCTTGTTCCAAAGGAATGGTTGTTTTCTCCTTCATGGAGGCAGTTGGTGTCGATCGCTTTGCTTTTGTCCGTGATTGGTGCGGCGCCAAACATTCCTTGGTCAGAAGCCGTGACAACCAATGGCAATGCATCTACATGGCATGTTGGGCCTATTAGTATAACTATTGATGCCCGCAAAAATTCAGCTGCTCGCAGTTGACCTCCTCGAACTTGGTTTGCCAATTGTTGTTTGGTTCGGCCAAGGTTATAACTTTCATCCCATTTCAGGTGGAACAATATACGTATATTTCGCTGGGCGTTCCTCAATTCAAAATACTGTCGCTTTTTCACGTTGGCTAAATATGCAATACAATCAGACAGAAATGTCTTTAGTGTACCCAGAGTTGAGCAAAGTAAGTGTGACAGGAGCCTTTACCTCTTCTTGTCTGTGGAATCCCTACTGCTGTAGCTCTCCTAGCGCCTCTTGGCCCATTCGAGCGCCTCTTGGACAGTTTGTTTCTTTGACCCTGCTCTGTCAGATTCTACGTCGGCTACCTCAATTCTGGCTGCTTGGCTGTCCGAATCGGCAGGTCTTGTTCCTTGTTCTTCAGGCCAGCCAGCCATTTGGCCCCTGCAATTGGACTTGTGTAGTGTTTGATGTGTGCATTGCCCGTTTGTGCCAACGGATTACCCTTTGGCCTGTCCTTTATATACCACCTGCGCATTTGATGCGCCCAAGGCGAGATCGCCACATACTCATTGCAAGACGGCAAGCGGCAGCTGGAAAAGGGCTTTGCCGGACACAAAGGCCAGGATCCTTGCATTGCGGTTGAGCGAATTTCAAAATTGCCGACCTTTTTGGACCCAGGTAGTGGTCCCCAAAAGAGTTTCTCCAGCTTTGATAAGCCCGATTTAAGAGCGTTGGCTCTATTTTTGAAGTAAGACTTGACCTCATCGCTTGCGAGGACTCGCTCGTTCATCAGAGAGCCTTCTCATCAATTCACCAGTGTTTGAACAGCGCGTGTTCTTCAATTGGGTCAGGGGAAGCTCCTGAATCCAGTTTCAGCTTATATGGTTGGCAAGCAGGAAAATGGCGAGCGCTTTTTTGGGTATTGAGTCGCACAAAGAGACCAGCACATCTTGCTCACAACTTTTAACATTCTACTCGAGCCCTGATTTCATTAGGTGCTACGGACTAGAGGGCCCTGAGCGGTGGCAGCAGCGGAAAAGGCAAGCCCTCGTTGATCCGATATGATCCGCGCTACAACAAAGCAGTTGAACAGGACATTTGGATGTGTCGACACTAAGGACCCTCCTGCGTGGTTGCTCTTTTGATATTGGCCCAAACAGTTGCCTATTTGACACATAGCCGTCTCTTGCCACGCCTTGTCGCGCTTGGCAGGCAGCGTGAACGGCTTTTGCCTGGACAGGGACTTCCCGACCAGTCCTCGCAAAGATGGTCCCTACAGTCCGCGCAATTCTCCAGGCAGTCCGGGCAAGGATTTCCCCAGCAGTCCGCGCAAGGATTTCCCAAGCAGTCCTGGCAAGTCTATCCGATGAGGCTCACTGCTGGTAGCACTGGGCCGGATAGGCTGGACAACAAGCCAGATATGAAGAACAACCAGCAAAGCTGCCAATCCTGCATTTTGATGAACTACGTTTGTAGCTGCATTTGCCGAAGGTATATGTTTGTTGTTGGCTTTTCTTCCGCGGGTTGCGGGCTGGATACCTATCCGGTCCGGTTACTGGCGCACTCTCGTTGTGAAAGGTGCCAAGGACCGGGATCCCAGACGCTTGCCCGCAGGCAGCTTCACGATTCTGTGCTTGCTGATTAGTTGAGCTCCTGTCGAATCTATGCTTTACCTTGAGAACATCTCACTGAGCCTTGGCCCCTGGCCTGATTCACAGGGGCTCAGTTGCAAGGTCTAGCTGCGGAGCAGGCCGACTTTTTCCGCGAGCAAAAGAACACTGCCTATTTTTGGGTGTGTGCCCAAAAATGTTGCTTGCTGGCCCGGCCTACGTTTTTGCATCGTTCGCATATCATATATATGTGTGTGACAGTAAGCATCTGCTTGATTACTGGAGGAGCGGAGATATTGTTGTTTGCCTCTGCATGTTGAGCTTAGGCCAACTTACAGCCATTCCGTGACCATCCCTTGTGGCAAGCATGTTGGGCATGGATAGTTTGCGCGCAGAACATTGCCGTCCGCATGATTGGCTGTCACTGGGGGTTGTCTCAAAGTAGGGGACTTCTTGGTTTCCTTGTGTTTGGTTTCCTTAAAACGATCCAGGGGTTAGCCCGTTAGCCCCAAAAGAAAAGCAACAAACGTATGCAGTTTATATGATTGAGTTGAATTGAACGTTTGCACAACTTTTCCGCTCAGTCGAGTTGCCGCCACAGTTTCTTGTCGCCTTCCAGAAAACAGAGAGCCTTTGGCTGTCCAATGTGGATCCATGTTCAGGTTCGGTTGGCCAAAGTCAACATGTGCAATGTGATTCGCAGGTTCTTCGGGCAAGAGCTGCCAACTGGGTTTTGATGAGAACCCATCACTGCAAAGTGATCTTTGCTTTAGGGTTTCCTCTAATGGATGCGGGAGCGGCCAAGGGTTTTAGCAAATGTTTGACTGTGTTAGGCAAGCTCACAAGGGGGCAAAGTGAGCTTTGGGTAATGCAGGTCCTTACTAGGGGATCCCTTATTTCAGGTTCTGGACATATTGTACTTATAACGTTTGCAGAGTGCTGCAAGCACCACATCTACTTGCAGCGATTTGAAAACGTGCCACAAGCGTTGTGCTCAATTTCATATAGCAGATATGAGGACACATCCTACCAGTTGCAGAAATCATCATTCAGCCCCTTTTCTTGACGTCCTATCAATCATGTTGCCAAACCAGCAGAGAACTCAAGCCAACACCAACAGCAATTGATCTGTATACAAATGTACACAGGCTTGCACATGGTTTCCTGGCTCCAGATGTCTTCGCACACACACACACACACACATCAGTCAACTCAATCTCAGAACCCCAGCCACTCCAATTTGGGACTTGTTGCAACGCCCCGAAAGAATCAACTGGCCACAATCCGCTTCAAAGCAAGCGCATTCATAAAGAACAGCCCAAGCCGTCAGAAGCTCATGGCCACTGCCCATGCGGCCACTGTGGCCACTGTGGCCACTGCCTCAGCCGCCCTGGGGGTCCTTCTGGGCCTCGCCTTGGCCTCGCTGAGCCGCACCCGGCGCAAGCGCCATGCGCCCCTCGTGTTCGAAGGCTGCGCCGAGCACCGGCTGAGGTCGGAGGCGGGGGCGGCGAGCGTCACAACCCAGTTCCGTTGGCCAGGTGAAGCCTTGTGGTTGTATCTTTTTCTTTAACCTTGAGGAAGTGAGGAGGCGAGCTGAGGAGCTGAGGATGCGAGATAAGGAGGACTTTGGGGTCCTCTAAACTCCAAACCAAGCCCAGATCAAGCCCAATGCTATCCATGAAGCGATCCAATCCACTCCACGAAATGTGTGCGTGGCTTCATCTGAATGACCTACGTACATATGTTTCGCGGAAACAACATGGGGATGAACATGTCCTCATTCGTCTAAACCTCCTCCTGGCCCCTCCCCTGGACAACTGTCAAATCCTGGTCCCGACAAGTAGGTGCGGCCGCCCTTTGGTTTCTTCCCCAATTTCAATGCCTCCCCTTTTCCCCGCTTCCGGAGCCACTCCAAGACATGAGCCGAGGCAGGGCTGAAGTACAAGCTGCAGGTGTCGCTGCCACACACCTACGGCGAGGACCCTTCCAGGCAGACATGGTTCCCTGAGGGCCCAAAACATGCTTGTTTGTTTGGGCAAGGGTTCCAACGACCCTCACAAATTATGAGTTTCGCTTGGAGATCGAGTTCACATGTGTGAGTTAGAGTGTCCAGCTCCATTGATCCCAGACTTGGACAGCGCCTTGTTCCACGGAAAAGCACTCCGGGCAAAAATGTTTGTACCCAGAGTCCTCATAAGGATCAGTCATTGCAGGTTCATGTCCTTTCAAAGGGTATTCCCCACCCAATTCCATGTTCGGCTGCAAGCAGTTGCCCTCTCAACAGAAATGGTTGGAGAGTGGGTTCCATCATTTTGCAGCATGACACCTGGCTTAGCTACTTGACTCCAATGCACCTCAGCGTGGGTGTCTCACCAGGCGCTATCCCGCGATCTTTGCCCTGGACGGGGAGCCATACCTCTTCCCATTGCTGGCCACCGTTGCGCGCACCCAGCACTTCTTCTGTAGGACCGCAAGCAGAGGATTGGTTCTGGGCAAATTAGAGTGAGCTCAACGAGTCGGGGCTAAAACGAGCTCACCCGTGATTAAGTTGTTGTTGGATGGATATTTCTTATTTCCAGTTTGTGAATCATAGTAATTGTCCCGGTTGGTTCCGAAGACCCGGGTTATTTCCTTTACTTGAGCTACAATCAACACCTGACACCAATAGTCCCCTCAACCGGTTCTCGGCGGGAGTTCATGTTAAAGGATTCTCGTGCTTGACCTTGAGTTCAAGGGCACCCAGTTGAGCAACGCGTTGATGCAAGGTGACATTCCCAACCATATAGATACAATGTGTAATATTAAAAGCAACCATCGTTTCCTCTTCAAGGGACCTTCTGGTGGGTTCCATGATGCTGGGTGAGGGCGTTTCTGCATGGTTCTTATACAGGAATTTGACTTTGACTGAGTTGTGTTCGGTGGTGGTCTCGTTTCCCTTTTTTGTGTGACTCTTTCCCCACAAACATGAGCAACCATTCGAAGGGAAGGCGTTTGCTAGCCCACTGGATCAAGCGTCTCACACTCCCTAGATTTGGACACTTGTATTTCACCGATGGACGCAGATGCGGTATTCAAACCGAGCCATTGTGTGATTGGCTGCTGTTTTGCAAAGATCTGGGACTTGGGGCCGAACCGCACTATTGATTAAAAGGTGCCTCGCCACCAACGCCACTGTGCCGGATGCTGTCACATGTGCTCGAGGAAGTACAAACCGCTTTGTCTTGTTTTCAGAGGCAAGTTGAATGGCCAGTGCACTTGCCCATTTCGGCAAACATTTGTACTTGCTCAGGCAATCATGTTGCCATGGAGAACATGTGCTTAATTCGTGGGCAGGGGTTTGCACCTAAACTGAAGACTTCTAGGTTTTGTTGATTCTGGGTTGCCAATGATCCCTTGGGTCAAACACGTGCATGATATGGTCCATACATCCCTTTCGGCTGTTCTCACGCACACCCACACATAGCAAACGCCACCAAGTGGATGTACGAAACTGGTTCAGGAGCACCTGGTATCCTGACTTCATTATCGTGGGAATCACGGCCGACCTTGAAGAAGACTTTACTTCCGAGAGCGTCGATGTCAGGAGTGGTGTTAGCACATATGTGCGCTTACGCGGAACCTTGGTGCTCGAGGGTTTTGCAGTCTCAAGGCCTGTTGTTTGACGTCGCATGGACCCAGCTGCTTGTGTCTGCACCTCACAAGCATGGCGAATGAATGACAATCACAAAATGGCAATCGATGGTTTTTGCCTGAGCTAAAGGGAAGACTGAGGAATGGGAGTGTCACTGATTCTGAATCCTTCACAGTTGGCCGAGTTGCCCCATCCAGGTTTCAGACTTGCAGATGATCGTTAGCTCTGACATGCGACATGATCGTGGAAGCCTTCCAAGTGAGGTAGCTTAAATTTCGTGTTGTTTGTTGCACAAACACACGATACAGAATAGCGGGCTGAATGGCAGAGGAATATTTGAATGTAGTGCATCACACTTTCCTCCCAATAAGGCCGTAACAAGGCCTTATTTAGGGTTTGATCTTGGGGAAGCAGAGGGAGGGGGCTGGCATCGTACTGTATCCCGGAAAATGGTTCAGGTGCCTAAATTGATATAAGTTGCCCAGAATCCTACACCAGTTAGATCAGACCCTACGATGCTGGGAGGAGGCTTGTATCCATCCACAGTATGATCCTGTGCTGATTCAGAGCCATAGAAAGAGAGCCCTTGCAGCCTAAAAGCGGTTGTTCGTGACTACTGGGGGCCATGGACCATGGGTCAGCTTCCCATGGCTCCCCTTGCTATGAATCAGTAGATATGATTTGCTGTTTATATATACACTTAGTATACATATACGCTTGTATTCTTGGCATTTGGCCAGGACCTTGTGGTCGGACTTACGGGCCACCCGTGCTCGGGACTACTTGCCCACCCAGGCGGAGAGCCCCTGGGGCTATCCCGGTGCTGGGTCTTTGCTGGAGGTGTCCGGCCACGTGCCTCGGTGAGGAGGGGGTCCCATTCCAAAAAGTCTTTGCGGCTTGGGCAAGAGGGGATATGAAACAGAATCCGATATTCATTCTTTAGGTGCATGCTAGAATTAAGCCAAGAGGGTGCTCCCCTGCAGATAACGGGGAACCCCACCAAAGCACCAGTTTTGGAGGCTTCTCCTTTTGGGTCTCCTTTTTCGGGTTCCATATTTGCAGGGCAGAACCGCCTGCTTGGGGGAATCCCCGTTAGGAGAGAAGCAGAAAGGGGAGGGGGGGGGGGGGGTACTCGAATTTCGAGATTACAAGCCCAAATGCTGGCTGCACCAACAAAAGCCAAGAACTTGTCCTTCGGCATAGCTACACTTACCATAAATATCCAGGTCAAGTGGATTTGCAACGCTGAGTGACTCCGAGTAGAAAGCTTTGAGAAGGGCGATAAGGATATGCAAGGCTGAGGGAGTTGTTCTCCCTCTTTGCCAGATGTCTGCACTTATGTACTTTTTTGAATGATCGCTGAGCTTGTAATTCCTTGAGGTTTAGCATTGATACGCGTCGCACTTTGCAACCTAGGGATGTCCGCATCGGAGAAAGCATACAATGTGCTCCCTCGAAAGAGATGCCCAACAGGATGCGCCACTTGATTATGAGAACAGGGAACCTCCAAAGTGATCTGCATTCTTTCTGAAATGGGTTGGCACCCATATTAATCAACAAGTGGTTCATTAAACAGCTGGTTTGTTAGTTTCAAGGGTGTCGTTTGCATCATCACACATTATAATATATATATATATACACGATATGTACATGTATGTACGCATATATACATGGTCGCAGCGTACATTATCACCAGGGTATTGTTTTTTGGTGGACCCCTACCTATATTATCGGTTTCTGGTGGTCACATCTATGCTCATACGTCACTGGCACGTCTCAAGGCCACCACGTTCGTTAACTTCTTGGTGTCGCGCTTGGTGCCCTTTGTGGACAACGTCTACCGCAGCCCGGCGCACTCAACACAACCGTAGACAACAGGCTGGAACAACATTTGGGTCAAGAAAGACAGACCCTGGCTTCCTTTACTGGGAGACCCAAAGCAGGTTGTTTTCCCTTTGGCGGTGTTGCCCCTTTTTGCAAGCTTTGGTAGCATAGAACCAGAGGTCTATAGGTAAGCATGCATAACTTATGGTACGTGTGCGCAACGAAGTATAAACACATATATACATTTGTATTCTTACGTGGCCAAGCATGCAATAGAAGGCACTTTCTGTCATGTTTCTCCAACCATGATGACCCCTAGTATTCGCCGAACATTTGCTAGGCCTACAGTGTATCTGGTTGACGTGTCTTCAAAGAGTGTGCACAGCATGCTTGAAGTCACGACTCGTGAAGTCGACCATTGATCCGCAAGAGAGTTGTGTTTGGGAGGAAATTTTGCAGAATAGATCATGAATGCTCAGTGGTAAGAATAGTCTTGCAATCCCCTTTCAGGGGACGCCTTCTTGCAGATGCAAAGCGAGGAAACTGGGTCGTTCACGAGGCATCCCTATACAACCCTAATCCACGATCAGTAGTGAGACAACCAACAAGGGGAAACTACTACCATTCGTCCGCCGGTTTCCCAGGCACAAGTGCCGAGCGCGCGCTGATCGGCAAGTCCTTGGGCGGCTCGGGCGTGGCGCATGCGCTGCTGGAGAGCCGAGATGTCTTCCAGCGCTTTGGCGCGGGAATGCTTGCTGGCCTGGGTGCTAAATGCGCGTGCCTTTTGTTGAGGGCCAGCCCTTAGGGGCGGTTTTGTAGGGCGGAAACCAAAGGACCACTTTTTTTGTGTGTGGGGGGGGGTCCCGGATTTTGACGACATACTTAAGTAACTCGTACTTTACAGTTAATCTACCCCATAGGAAGCCACAAGAGGGCGAATATGATTCTGCCTGTGCCAGGCCTTCCATCAATTACCATCCTGGTCACCATCCTCTTGGGTTTGATCCGGGGCTTTTCAATCCTGTTGCAAATTAACTGTTTCCCACGTCTTAGCAAACAACACAGCTTTTTTTTGCAGGTGGTCAAACACCAACCAGCTACCCAGCAAGGATCAGGCTTTGTTGCGACAGTTTAAAGTTTAAAAGCCAGACCGTCACCCCATTGGAAGCGAGATCAAAAGCATGCCCAAGCTTTTTTTGTTTGCCAACAGCACCCAACGACCGCTTTTTCATGTTCAACCCCTCAGGGCTACTGTCCGAAAAGCAGCCCCGGGCCCTTCAGGGTGAAGATCTGCATAGTTTGTTCATTCTCCCCAAGAGCAACTGGTGACCCGTCGCGGAAGCCCAGTGGTTGCGTCCCAGAAACTCGATCCCAGGTATTTCCTCCTTGGCTCGCCTTCGCTGGCCTGGGACGAGGGCGCTTTCTTCCGACTCGAGGAGAGCCGCGGCCTAAGATTCCAGTTCGATTCGCGCCAGAAAAACGGGGATGACGCCTGCAATGACAGCAACAACAACCAACAACCAATGACCAACAACCAGCAGCCGGCGACCACCAGCAGCAGAAGCACTATGCACCGAGGAACATGTTGGAATTTCAAAAAGAGACAGAGGCGTGGGTGTTTTAAATGTTTGCAAAAGAGGAAACCAGGCGCTGACCATGTGGCTTGTTTGGAACCGTGCCCTTCACCCCATGCGGCATCTCGATAGCTATGGACCCCCCCCAACCAACTGTCATTCGGCCCTGTGTGATTGATTTACTTTTTTGTGGTTGCGGGTGCCTCACCTGAGATGGGGGCCCACTCACTATGGCAATGCGATCACTTGTTTGCCTGTAGAGCTATCCACGACAATGGTCCCGAAAACCGCAAGAAGAGCCACCCTGGGCTTTCTTGTCAATCACACGCGTTCCCTTCGCAAGTGCGCAAACCCAATATGACGCTTGATGCAGCTTGTGGCTCCGTCCGACTTAGGCCATGCATCCAGAGCTCCTTTGAATGCAGAGGTCTACCTTTGCTACGGAGGCGCAACGTGCACCATGCCTAAACCATTGGCTAGCAGCATGGCAACTTCTGGACAATATGCAATGACCGGCATGTTGTAATCCATTCGGATTAGTTGACTGGGCATGTGGAACCAGATAATTAATGATGAAATCTGGGGGGGAGGCAGCGAGAATAAAGTGTTCCGGTTTCGCCCAAATGTCTAGCGTCAGAGGATTAGCGTGAAGCTGGATTCTTGGGACCTACGCAAGTGGGACTTTGAGCATAGCCAGGGGTGCTGGCTCTATCACATGATGGCAGCAAATAGGCTCCTGAACGCCCGTAAAAATCATTAGGGTGTCAGGAAACAAAAAAGGGCCCAGAACATTTTGCCAAGTCACAGTATAGTGTTGCATGTTTTCCTGGCTCCAAGAGGCTCTCCACCCCAAAAAGCCGGAACACTCAATATGGGGATGTCTTTGGCACAGTGTAATTTAATTTGAGACCAGATTGGCAGTCCTACTGTCGACCTTTGGAGACAACCCCGTACATAACCTTCCAAGAGGGGCCAGAGTCTATGCTGGGCAGTGGGAGGCAGCGAATCAGAGGCCATGGTCGCCAATGCCCAGGAGCTGGGCATGGGGTTAACCACCGCCATTTTGGTTTCTCAAATTCAGATGCATTTTTTCTATTTGGGGACAAACCGAACATTTGTTGCGACACGCACGGAACTGGCCGGCACAGGAGTTCAAGCGCTGTCTGGACAGCCGCGGGTACCCGCAGCTGGTGGTGTCGCTGGATCGCGTAGAAGATGAGGACAGTCGGCGATGAAAAGGGGCAGACACGGCCTGAGTTTAGTGGGTTCCTCTGGCTGGTTTGTTTGTTGTTTCGTGGGTGTTCCAACATGTTCCATTTGTTTGTTCAGCTGGGGTCCAACCCGTAGAGCAGGCACCTGATGCCACGAGGACCACGGCTCGGTGTCCTACCCCTTCGCCTACCGCGCCCTTCGATGGCTTCGGGACCGCTTGGAAGGAGGAAAAGGACAACCAACGTTGGTTGGCACGCGTGCCTGGGGGGTGGGTAGGGTAGGGCGGACGTGGATCGCAGTTTATTGTGCACCAAGAAACCCACCCTGAAGAAGGTAGTTGCAAAATGGACATTTCTGCGTTTGTCTTCTGGCGGATGCCTTTATTTTTAGTCTGGGCAAATCAATTGCGACCTCACCAAAATTCGGGTTGTTCAACTAATTTCACCCATGATGAAAGTGTCTTTCCTACTAGGCTTGAGAATTCCTTGTTTGAGGTCCGTGCATTGCAATCATTCGCCCAGATCAGCTTTCCATTGGATGTTTCATTCGGTTTTCGTTTTTGACTCCTTCCATTGCCCAGCGGCGCCTTTCTTTGCACATTCCCCTTCCTGTAAACATCAGCTAGCCAAAAATGGGGTCCTTTTTCCCTGGCCATTGATCAAGAAGGGCATGTAAACCCCTTGATCGCTCGTGACAGCCCTTGTGACAGCCCTTGTGACAGCCCTTGTGTAGCCAGATCACCAAACTGCAGGCTTTACCTTTTGACCCACCTTTTTGCTTGACCACAAAGGGACCTCCTCTCTTAGTGTGAAGACATTCTTGAAGAGATCCTTCTTGTTGCTGCACTTCGATCATGGAACGTGCACTTGCGCTGGGCGAATCATCAGATTGAATGCTTTGTCCCTAGTCTTTGCACCAGCATTTGTAAGAGGCTCCAAAGCCGAGGGTTTCTTGCCCCTCCTGAAGTAGGCCCATTTTCTCACTGTATGGCAGGATCATGTTCTGGCCAGTCAACGCAGCAAAATGGGTTTGTCTCGGCACAAGGGTCCCTCCATGTGGTTTCCAGTCAAAGCCAACCAACAGTGGGTACCCTCAAACAAGGACACCCCCATACGCCCAAATTCGTTTTCGATTTCCCATGGTGATATGTGGCAATGGATTTGTCCCTGCTGGAGCGTGCTGCTGCAGTGGGAAGCGCAGAGGCCGGGAGTGAAAAGGCTTGCAAGCTTCACACACGGGTCTCAACACCAAGGGATCACCTGCGAAAATGGTTGGTTTCCTACTGCTGCATTCCGTTTAAGACCAACCACAAAGGAGTTCCCTGGACACGTCCACATGGCAGTTGCCCAGTTGTCTAATGGCTTCCATGTTGATTCTCGGGGTAACCGCTGGGCAGAGCGATCGCTTTCCGTTCAAGAGTGGCAGAGTCATCGTGGATGGATTATCTCCTTCTGTTTGACTGCCGACACGTTAGATCACTTGTTGGGCACGCCAGCTTTTCTTGTGTGATTGTTATTTGTGTGTACTGAAAGAGCACCCCAGTCCAGGATTATGCGCCACTATGCGCCCACGGATGCAAAAGCAAACAGGACGGACGAAATGCTTAACGTTAACTTACTGAAAGTGCAAGTTATGAGCTGACACCTAGTATCTGCCCTATACATATTCTTGCCTGGTTTATGTGTCAGCGTATTTGAGTGATCCACCAATCAAAGAGATCGAGCTTTCAATCTTTTTTTCTAGGTGAAGCCTGACAAACCCATGCCCTCGGCCTCCCCTCCCAAACAAAACGGTCAGAGAGCGCAAAACGACATATGATGCGGTTTGTTGCAGTCGATTTGTGTATTTTAAGTTGGACACATCTCTTGGGGTGGAAACCCTCAGGTTCAAACGGTAAGCCTTGTGAAGGCGCAGTACAACCTGGGCGCTGAGTTCCTCACGGGCAAGCGAGTGCAGAAGGCGACGCGGGGCTTGCGAGCAAACTCAGTTCAGCCCAGTGGCACTTGTTTTTCCCCTTTCAAGCATCGGTGTCCAATCAAGAATCGTTGCTCGGTAAATGTTCTCAAAAGCTGGTTGGACTTTTTGGGAGACGGTATCCTTTGGGCGTGTTGTCGAAGGCATCCAAATCATCGCAAAGTTCGGTGCGACCGTTTCTTGGGCAGCCTGGTTTGTGCTTCTTCGCCACCCCTTCACAAGGGGCCGTGAACTGGTAAGGAGGCCACAGTTTGACGAGCTCCGTGATACATTTGTGCTGGGGGTCGTGTGGATCTTTGCGCACCTGCTGTTGGCTGTTTTGTGAAAGAGGAACGGAAGCGGCTCGTTTGCAAGTTGAACAGCTAACCGGGCACCCCAGTCCCAAGTCATCAGAGTGAAGTGCATTGCGCTGGTGGCACCCACACGCCCGCGCGCGCGGGTGCGTGCGTGTGTGTGTGTGTGTGTGTGAGTTTCTCTTTTTTGGGAGACATACAACCCTGAAAAGGGTACCCTTACAATGTAAGGGTACCCTTTTCAGGTTGTGTCCACCCATTTCGGGGTACTCCGATGTTGACACATAGATACCCGCGTTAGAATTCATCAGCGCTCTGCTTGCTTTGCATATGGCAAAAGTTTCACGTTCGCCAATCAATGAAACACAGAGTCGGCCTAGTTCTTTCGCAGCTCTCAAAGCCTTCTCGCCATGTGGCACCTTTACGTTCCTTTTGGGGAAGCCCCCTATCCGTTTACCATTCATGGAAAGAGGGCGGATTGAAATATCCTTGTGACAGGCTAGAGAGCATTCCTTTGAAAGGGAGCCAACCCGAGTGTGGCGTGCGGATTCGGATGCTCGCCCTTCCTCTCGCAGGACCCAGCGCGGGCCTTTGAGCTTTTCCGCGAGGCTGCGGGCCAGGAACATGCAGCGGCCATGTGCAACCTTGGTGTGATGTATGCCCAGGCAGGGCAGCTGGGCTGGCTGTGCTTGGCTGTGGTGGGGTTGTTTTGTTCTGCTAATAAGGGTATGCCCAAAATCAGGGGGCGTAGTTTTGAGATACCATTGTCATTCATGCGAAAGGCCCTTTTGCCCCTGACCTGGTTCGGATGTGAGACGCCCTTAGCCTTTCCGAATCGAAAGCCGTGTACCCTTTGAAGGAGATTGAGTCTGAAGCCAGGCTGAAGAGTTAGTATGCGTTGGAGGTCAGTCAGACAAGCTCGCACTTCGATTGAGGCTCGGGGTGAATTCCTATTGCAGCGAGGAAGACGGCTCGTTCATTTCATCATGCTTTGCAATAGCCAACAAACCAACAACGAGCCATTTCAAGAGGTATCCAAGGAGCCATGTTGATCCTTAGCCTTGTAACCGGCTGTGGTTGGGCCCTGCCTACGGCATGACATCTTTCCGCAATCAAATGTCTAGGTACCCGTCGCCGGGGAGGGAACCCCTGGCAAGGCTCTCATGAAAGTCATACAGGCTGCCAACCGGGGGCAGTCCTGAGAGTGCGGAAACATATTGGGTCCAGATTCCCTGTTGGCCCGAACACGAGCCAAGCCAATACATCAGGATTGATGTCCGCCCGCCGGAAGCCGATGGTCCAGTTGTGCAGCCATTCGTCAGTCTTTGCATACAATCAGTTTTCCAATTGCATGCAAATGCAGATGCTTTATGTGTAAAATATGGGTGTATATATATATATATAGATACATACTACGTATATATATATGTATATACATATTATATATATATATATATATGTTATTATATATGTCTTATTGTTCATATGTCTTATTATTATGATTAGTATTATTATTATCATTATTATCATTATTATATATCATTATTGCTATTATTATTGTTATTATCATTGTTATTATTATTGTTATTATTATTTGTTATTATTAGTATTATTATTATTATTATTATTATTATTATTATTATTATTATTATTATTATTATTATTATTATTATTATTATTATTATTACTGTTATTATTATTATTATTATTATTATGTGTTATTATTATTATTATTGTTATTATTATTAACCAGGCTCGCGCCTGCTGCCGCCGACCCTCGGCGCATTAAGGGAAAAGTCACAAGGACCGGTCCTGAAACACGTCCGCAAACCCAGGGACCACTTAGAAGATCCTCTACGACCACAAACAAGGATTAACGGAAAAGTCAGAAATAGGGCAGCTAGTCCGTTAATTACCGCTTGGGCCGGCTTGCGCCCAAGTCACTTCGAGTTGGCGCCTCTCCCGGGGTCGCCCTGAAACTGGCCCTCCCGAAGTTGCCCTGGACCGGTCGCCGGCAGGGACCGGGACTTGGGACCCTATCCAGGCTGGTCCCAGTCTGGCGCGGTTTGACTCGACGTATTGGACTCTCTTGCAGAATAGATCCAGGGATCCTCTACTACCACAAGGATTAACGGAAAAGTCAGACAGATGACAGCTCGTCCGTCAATAACCGCACGGGCCGGCTTGTGCCGAAGTCACGTTGAGCTGGTCCTAGAAACAAGGCTGTTGGTCCCCCTCAACTGGTCGCCATCAGTGACGACCTGGGACCCTGTCCAGTGTCCTGGGTGCCAGTCCTGGAGCTTTTTGAGCAGCAATTTGAAGTATGAGCGGTCAGACCTCGATCCCAGGACCGGTCCCAGGACCAGTCCCAGGACCGGTCCCAGGACTGGTCCCAGGACCGGTCCTGGGACTCGTCCCGGGGACCGGTGCCAGGCCGGTTTTGGCTGACTACAAGTAATCTGAAACAGCAGAACCAGGGTCCCAGGACCAGTCCCAGGACCGGTCCCAGGACTGGTCCCAGGACTGGTCCCAGGACCGGTCCGGGACCGGTGCTGGGAATCACTTTTTGTGCGTTCGGGCGTGCCCCCCAGGGACTATCATTGATTCCAATCACTTCCAGTTGCATCCCACGCCGGTCCCCTCTGCAGGAGGCTGGGACGGGAGGCAGAGGGTCGGCGGATTATTATTATTGTTGTTATTATCATTGTTATTATTATTGTTATTATTATTGTTATTATTATTTGTTATTATTATTATTATTTTCTTATATATCTATATATATATATATATATACACAAACCCAGACACGTTGTCGTTCAACACAGCCCAACTCCGACTAAAGCGCCGGCATCATTTCCGCAACCTTCAGGGCCTTGGCGTGCAGAAGGATCCCTTGGAGGCCAGGCGTTGGTACGAGCCTTGGCCGTGAAGCCTTAAGATTTTCCGAGCGAAATGGCTGGCCTGAAGGGCAACCGGGGTCTAACCCTTAAAGTGTTCACTTGAAAGGGCCCCGCCAGACCTCCCGGTAGACCTCCAGCAGAGTTTTCCCCGTGTCCCTTCTGGAGGGGGGCAGCCCCTTTAAGGTCAACGACGGTCACCACAAATTCCTTCTCGTCCGAATGCAGAAGCTGGGATGCCCGCCTTGTGGACAGGGGAGGGTCCCTAGGAGCAGCCATTGCGTTCGTTCCCGAGAGGGACATGTAGTTGGAGTCAGTTGTCAGACAATGTCCATCCATGTTGACAAACTGTGACCCTTTTTTTTCCACCACTCTCAAAACGGCTTCCACACAGCACCCTGCAAAGGCCGCTTCAAACCACATACCCTAAGCGGGCTCAAGAGAGCATCGGTTCCTCAAGAAAGCTCGGAGCCAGGAAAGAAGCAGACCCTTGAAACATGCACCCTCCTTGGCCAATGACCCAAATTCATGATCCTACGCATTGCTTTTGAGGCGTTGAATTATTGTTTTGTGATTGCCAAGTTTGCTCGATTTGCCCTTTTGGCAGTTTTGTTTTTTAAATGTAAACTCATGACAGGCTATGGTTTGACCTTTCCTCCTGATGCCCATTTGGAGAATCACGCTTCCTCACAGACTTAGAAACACCAACCCAGAAGTCAGAATTGCCTGAGGAGAAAGCCGCAGACAGGGGCGACGCCAGTGGTCTCTTCAACTTAGCCTTGCTGTGCGCGGAAGGCACTTGGTCGTCAGTTGCAAGTTTGACAGTATGACTTTAATGGACCCAGCAAGAAAGCATAGTTGACTCGCGGGGCTGTGGGGATGGAGCCCTAGAATTGCCAGAGTTCCATTATTTCTGTCTTCACTTTTCCCTGTGTGCGAATCTTGTTAAGATGACTGCGGGACCTTAACCTCACCCTTCCTTCCGCGCTTGAGGTAGGGAGTATTCTAGCCAAATGGGAGCGTGTGAGCAGTGTTTATTTTATTTGTTTCCCCGAGTTGGGTCGGCGCCGTATGTGAGGAGCAACCCAACAAAAAAAAGAGAAAAAGCAGAAAGACAGGGAGCGGGAGGAAGAAAGCGTGGGGGGGATGAGTGTCGCTTGTTTTAATTACCATGGGGGCTAGGTGAGTCTATTGGTGTATTGGCCTACAGGTGCATAGGCTTGCAAGCCCAAGCGTCGCCGCGGTGCGAGGGTCCAAGCAGAGGGCTATTCTAATGCCAGCAGCACATGGCTGATTCTTGCAAACTAGCTTGACTGCCTTCTTGATTGACTGTGACAATTCCACATAATGAGTCATTCAACGTGTGGCCGAGCACCAGCCCAAGAGTATCGCGGCAAGGGTTGCATAGCCTTAAAGGCAATCCACGCATGGTAGTTATTTCCTTTGCACAGCATTTCGCTTGCTGCCTGGATGGCAGCCTTGCTTTTGGCACAACCGGCAACCGGTTCCCAAAGCAGGGCCCCCCCCCCCTCTTAGGGCCGGACTCAGTAAGCTGAGCAGAGGCGACTAGTTCAGATTTTGAGATTGGTGGCTCTGTTCGTTACTTGTATCAGAGTTGGCCGGTCTTGGATGCCTAAGTTGTGCCAGTGGATTGTGCTTATTGTGCAGCTGAGCCTCACTCACGCTTTGTCAATCAACCAACCCATTGTAACTGGCGTCGAGGTTCTGAACTTTCAGACTTGGTCGCCAATCTGGTTGAATCCCCACTACATTCTAGCGGGAAGCTTAATTCAGTATGCTTGAAGCGTAGTGCAGCTAGGGCGAGATAGCTTTTCCGAAACTAGTTGGCCTAGAACACTGCGTGATGTCCTTTCCATTTGAAGGGCTATCCTAAAGGGGGTCACCAATTTTTGGACACTCTCATGGTACACGAATCGACCTCCCTTTCTCGTGCGCGCACCAGACGACCCACGGCGTGCTCGGCAGCTGGCGCAGCTGGCGCAGAAGAAGGGGCATAGTCAGGCAGCGCGGTTTGGTGAGGTTGACCATGAGCCGTGCCTGAAGTTGAACGGATTTCTCCTGGCCAATCGCAAAATCGCAAAGCACGCCACGGGGCCGTTCAAAAGTCCTACTCCCGCTGTGGACTTCACCTGTTTCGCGAGTCATTTTCAGAAAAGCGGAGATTCTCTCTTTTTCTGCCAGTCCAATTGGGAAGTGAGTTTTGTCTGATGCAAATATTGATCGTTTAGGACAGTCTTCAATGCGTTCCCTGTTGGGCCGCCGTCCGTCAGGGACCCATTCGTGTGACCAGCATGTTGTTTTTGATGAGCCCCTGCTGTAGTTCCAACCTCTTGATTTAGGTAGATTCCATTTTGGGTCACCAACCTGGAAGGAAGCTGGCGTCGGTTGAACTTCTTGTAGCCGCTTCTCACTTGCTCAATATCATTATTACCAGCTTTCGGTTTCTCCTCTTGTTCATTCTAGCCTTTTCGTACTTGCAGCACTTTGATCTGCTGGTGTTGCGCATGTGTTTGTGAAAGTTCCTTAAAAGCAAACCTATTTCCAGGTCTTGTGGGCAACTTAATTTGAGTTCCTGGGTTGAACCGGCCGCTTCTTGGAAACGGCGGAATCTATATACAGTCGGGAGAGGTGGCTGAGACTGGCTGAGAGCTTGCAGCTGACGATTAGAATGGGTGTGTCGCTTCGTTGATGGTATGCTTTTTAGGGAGTGGTTTCACGGGAAGTGCAAGCGAAGCTACCTGTTTGCTGGGGGCCGTTGAATGTCACAACCAGCCGCTGAGTTGCTGGGAGGCTCTCCTGAGCACTGGATCAGTACCAGCTTGACAGATGTTCTTTTGGGGCTGTTTTATGTTGAAGGAACCAGCGTGAAGCCAACCATATTTGAGATGGGAGCCAGCACAGCTGGTTCGTACAGGGAACCAAAATATACCGACCACACGGAGGGCGCTCGCTGGTTTTGACATGTCGTCATTTTCTGCGCTGCTGGACGTGAGAGCCCTTTTTAAGCCGCTGTTGAGCGCGGGGACCCACATTCAAATTGTGTTGCGTCCCAAATTTATTGTTTGTTGAGTTCCGCACTTAGAGTGGTTATCCTCCCTCAAAAGGATTCCTGGTTCTACCAGGGTCCCCGGTCAACTATAACTTTTGTTGGCATAGGGCTGATGTTTATCGAACGGCAGTTGGTCATGGCCGGTATGTCCGCTCTTCAACGGCACCAATAATTCTAAGATAGTTCCACTGCCCCCAAACAACTACCCCCCGGTTTTGATGGGATATACAGCCACTTACGGGTGCATACCCCTGTCAGACCCTTGAGGGCAGCGGAAACCATACTGCGAGCGGAAGCTCACCTTGCTGTCAGTGGCAGGCCGGTGCCTTTCTGAGCAGCCTGCCGGGGCCAGAAGAGGCAGGTGGAATGGATCAACGCCACAAGTTGAAACTGAAGCAACGTGCGCAGTCGAAATGGTTCTTGATATTTCATCAATAAGTTTATCATTGTTGTGATTTTCCAACCTGGCTGGGAAGGAGCCGCTGTTGGGGCTTCTGAAATGGCAAGCGCAAATGAACTCATGTTTGGCATGCGGCAAAGGGTCGAGCTTGGAACCCCAGGTTTCTGATTTCTTGAGTCCTTGAAGGCTCAACTGACATTTATTACAGGATTGCGGGTTGCGTTTTCGCCTTTCGAGGTTTCATTGTTTTACCGTATACAAAACAATGGGAGAGCGACGGTGTACTAAACAAGCCACCACGTAGGTGTGTGAAAATCAGGTGGCAATACCAGGGAGCCTTACCAGCCGTATCACGGAATTGGCGGTCTTACACGCTCGCGTGTAGGTGTATTTCAGGGACCTGCAGTGTGAACCGGTGGCACCAGTGGTTTCCAATGGTGGGTGCCTATCAGGAGGACCCTTCAGGTAGGTTTGTTTCTGTTTAGTTTCTGCTTGCAGCAGCGACCTTAAAGAGGGCTCCATCTTGGACAACTACTTTTGTGTTCCTGTGAGCCACACCCATTCTGTTCAGCAAACGTTTCTGTTCAACAGCCAGCCATGTCCCTTGGTTGTTGGTTTTCTGAAAATAAGGATTCCTGGAAGGACTGAGGAAGTTATCCCCAGAACCAAGCTCCTTCGAAGATTGCATCGACGGCCAGTTCTGGTCGCGACTGCGGGTGCTGCGGGCGCAAAGTGCCCAGCTCTTCGAGGCTTGCGGCCGCTTCGGCCGAGATGTGCGTCCCAACTTTTGCCAAGCTTGCTCTTCCTTTCTTGCTGCCAGCCGCCAACTCTGGGCGTGTGGCAGTATTCTGACAAGAAAGATCTCCGGAGAGAATGGGGGAGCAGAGCTGGAGTCTTTGTTGGGCTGAGGGGAAATCTCCAAACTTTTGCAAGGGGACGACATCTTTGCACAACCCGCGAGACGTGGGGCTTTGGGCTCGGCTCCGCGGTCGGCGAGGAGCTCCGGCAAAGCCACCGGGAGCCCAAAGCGGCGGCGCTTCTGGCGGAGCTACTGGCTCAGCTGGCGGGGCCCTGTTCGCTGCTTCGTGGACAAATGTGTTTAATATTTAGAGTTGGCACCCTTTTCAGGTTGGATTGAAGGGAAAAGAAAGGGACAAGCACCATCTTTGGGTTCCCAAAAATTTGACACTTCCAGCCCTGGTAATTTCTTCTTTGCATCTCAAGGAGTGTCCTGTTCAAAGGCTGCACTTGGGTGTCACGCACTAAGCTTTCGCCATCCCGACGTGCTGATTGACGTTTGGTGAAAATTAGGTTTCCCAAAGGAACTCAGCCCTGTTGAAAGGCAAGCTTGGCTCCACAACGGGCCCACGGTTTGCCATGTTTCAACAGCTGCATTGCCTGACTGACTGGACAAACAGAAGGTAAAGGGCCTAAACATGACTCCTCAACTGTTAGCTTGAGGTGAGCTTCTACCTGGGTCAATTCGGTATGCCTTTTTTGTTGGATGGAATGATGTTGCAATGCGACATCTAGGCCTCTGCAAGAGGATGTGTTGCTGGATTTGTTCATCCGTACTGCGTTGCATTCATGCGCTTGGTTTCATTTGGTGTTGCAAGTCATGTTTGTTACAGTCGGTTTTGTCGCGGACGTGGTGGTGGAGTTTTCTGTGGCTTGTCCAAGATTGGAGAGTTGGATAAATTGGGATGTACAACTTCCAAAGTTCAGGCCCAGTTGTTCAATGTGATTTGTGACCTGTACTCACAACACCTGGACCTGTCATTCTACGGTCTCGCCACCAGACCACGCATGTGTCTCAAACTTATGGTTTTGGGTTTGGTTTTGGGGTATGCGTGGAAGATCATTCGAGGATTCAACTACTTGTGCACATGTGAATGGGCATAGCGCCTCGGCACATGTGGCAGGAGATGGTCCAGACCGCACCGAAGGCACGGAAGTTTCATGGTTGTACCAGGTGAGCCATGGTCGTGGCCGTGGATGCCCCAAGTTGTGCACATCAACGGTCATGTCAATAGACAGGTCACGGGTGTCTTTCATCTCGAATCTCAACACTGCGGACTCACTTGTCCAAAGCCGACCGTTTGATGTTTGGGTTTTCCCATTTTGGTCACTTATTTCCGCGTCCTCTGGGCAAGTGGTTTAGACTTTGAGTCGCCAGGGGACAATATAGCAGCAGAGTAGTTGTTGGGTGGCCTGCAACGAGGACATCCGCAGGTTCGTCAAGTGCAGGGCAGTTGCGTCATGGGGATGTCAACCACCACCCACCGGGCTTTATTTGGAATTCGGTTGCGGCAGGTCAAAGCACAGCCGCCAGCATCATCATGACGATGAAGAATCCTTTGATGGAGCAACAACATTGACGACCTACAACGGTGCAATGGGGAGGTCCTGCCCGTTTTCTTTGAAGCGTCATGTTAGAGTATTGCCAACTTTTGCGCAGAGAATCCTTTGATATGAATGAACCATTGTGGCTATTCCACAGTTAAGAACATGTTCATCAGCATGGTTAGCAGCATTGTGAAGAAATGTGCCTTTCTTGCTCTTTTTGAGGAGGTCCCCGTTTTGGAGACACACCCCCACTCGGGGTTGCTAAGATGTGGGGTCGATTGTTTTGACAACTCGGTCACAACTCGGTGCGGCCGCCGTACCCTCTCGAGACGAACCCTGGCAGGCGCCCTCTCGGATGGATGCAGAGATCGTGGATTAAAAGATGACAACTGGGGAAGGGGGCCCTCGGGCTGGATGGTTGCAAAGGGAAATGATTGAACACCACCCATGTTTGGGGCCGCCCTATGTTTCGTCGGACCCTACTCCGACGTCAACTGACTGATTGATTCTGAGTATACACCCGGTATGAGTTGTTTTGTTTCTTGTTGTTTTCCTTTTTTTTTCCGGTAGCCATTCATGTATATGCTTTGTGTGTATAGATGCATGTTTGCACTTGCACGGCCTTGTACAATTCATATATGCACATTGAACCTTCCTGAAGTCCAGTGTGAGGTTGTTCCAGGCCGAGGCTACAAGGGGGACTGTCAACGATTTGAAGAGCTGGCAAAAGCATGTGCCATGCAGAAAGCGATCCAACACTAAGGCGTGAGAACCCTCCAACGCATTTGGAGTTACTAAAAGATCAGGTGCGTTGGTTTTCAGCCGACAAATGCGGTAACAGATTAGCCCAGCCCAGCCGTATTTTGTGGTCGAAGCCCACAAATCGCGGGTCTCGGCATGAGGGAAGGCGTTTGCGGCCGTGCGCAGCTTTAGCTATGGTACAAGAAGCCAAGCACAAGCGGCATGTTTCACTGTCAGCCATCCTTCCCCCAGCTGCCCAAGTGACTTAGTTTCCTTGACTTCTTTTGCGCAATCTGAAGAGGGGGTCTACAATTGCCGTGAACCAGGCTTTCATTTGGCTAGTTTGACAGCTTGTGCCAAAATTTGCGCCACGTCCTCCATTTTTCCCTTTGGCAAAGCAGGGTAGCAAAGGGATAGTGTACAGGATCAAACAGAACACAGAAGGCTCTCGATGCATGCACAGTACCTTTGCGTTTGCCTCGTGGCAACTCCATCCATGCCAAACGGGCTCGCTTGCATTCGATATGCCGCCGCGGGTCCCAGAGGCAAGCCCGCCGAATGTCCGAAACTCTGATGGACCCAGTTTGTGGTTGCACCTGAAGGACGACCAAAAGGCATCCAGGCAATTCCATTGGGTGTGTCAGGCTAAACTGGATTCGGCCTGGCTTGTATTGGAGCCTCCTCTACTATTTATTTTTACCCGCATCCCTATCCCCAGGTTGAAAATGCTCATTTTGCCAGCATAATCTTGTTTGAATTCCATCAAGCAATATTGGCCCTGGCGCCGTAAGAAGGGATGGAAGCCCATGTTGGTATTAGTGGCTGGCAACGGCTTATTGCCAGTCCGTTTCATGTCAGTTGCAGGGCGAGAAGGGTGACTCGAGGCGGGTGGGAGCAGCGATGTGAATCTGAAAGCAGGCGTAAGAAGGACAACTTTGCAAGTAGAATTCGCATGGATTCGCATGAGGCAAGCTGAAAGCAGCAGTCTACTGGCCAAATCCCACTTTGCCGAATTAAAATCATTCGACATCAGGACCTTGAGCGTTTGACGAACAGTGGAAGTGGGCCTCGAATTCAGCCAGTAGGACAAACAAGTGCTTCCCTTTTCGGGCACTCAAAGCGGGCTGCCAAGATTCGAGTCTGCTGCTCGGCACACCCTTGTTGGGAACTCCCTGCAGTTTTGAGTTTTCCGTGCAGCCACAGCTGGTTTCAGGCCTAAGGCTGTCTCAAGAAGAGCTGAGATGAGCGGTTCGCTCAGGCGGGTCGCAAAGCTTCCCTTTGTCTCGGCCCGAGGCCTAGATGGGCTCAGATCACCGTGATCCACCGCCAGCGGTGTCTCACGTAGCCGCTATTGTGGGAAATAGATGACTTGCCTAAAAGTGTAAGACCTTTCATAGGAGGGCTTGGTTCGGTCTTCTTACAAAAGGGTTTCCAAGGGTTGAGTTTGTGCAGCCAGACTTTGGCCGGATCAGAAGGTCCGTAACAGCCTTTCTGAGCGTCTTTTTTTTTTGCTTTGACAAGCCACCGATAGAAGTTCTCAAAGTAGAGGACCCGGTAGCATTGATTGCTTTCCGTCGGCTTACCTTGAGGCACCAACCAAGATCAAGAAAGGGTTAAACATTGAGAAACTCCAAGGTGATGCTTTTGGGTATCACCCGAAATGCTGCGGACAGGGTGTAGGCACTCGGCTTTGGGCCAATTCGTTTGACTTGCAAGTTGCAAGGGCCTGAAGCACAGGATCTCTTTCTTTGTCCGGGAGCGGGGGAACTTGAGTATTTGACACCACGGTGAAATCCTGTTAGTCAATGCGACAAAACATGTCTCAAACATGTTTCAAACATGGGTTCAACATGACCCAAAAGTTGATCCTTCTCCTTAGCACCCCTGCCCCACCCGTTTCACCTGTCGTGATAAGCTCTTGGTCGGCCAGGTTGCAGTCCGCATACGGCCTGAGCCTCAGGCGCTCAGACAGCAGCCAGAACTACGAAAGGTTTATAGTCCCCTTTATATCCCTTTGCAGGAAAGGATTTTCCAGGCCAGTCACAGATGCAATTGGCTCCCTGCCCGCAGTAGGGTTGTTCCGAGCCTCAACATGATGAATCAGCACACGAACGTAGAACATTGGTGACCCCCTTTTCCCCTCGGCCTCTGAGTTTTCGGGTTGAATGGAAGCGTCTCGGTCCTAGGCCCTCCAGCGAAGAGCCCGCGGCACTTTGGGCCACTGAGAAGTCCCGAGTCTGCTGCAACCGGGGCTTCCTCCTGGAGGAGCCAAGGGCTGGCAGAATATGACGCGTGTGAGGCTTGGAGTTCATGGCAACTGGCTGTTTGGGCGTACTGCAGCATTGGACCAGTCCACAATGTTTATCATTGTGTGAATGCGAGTGGGACGCTTTTGAAAAAGGATCATTTTCAGACATAGAGCCTTTCAGTGTCCAAGTGCCTCGTAAGGGGGCACCTTGACCTCGATTAACCCATCGAAACAAATCCTGAAGGCCTACTTGACTCAGACCCTTTTGGTTTGACACGATCACAGATGAGCATGTTCATCCATATCGAGTTGGACCCCGTTGTTAGGGATGGCTTTAAGAGGCCGTGCCTCACGCCATGACAAGAAACTAGCCGTCCCTTATTCTCCCAATGGACAAGAAATTAGCGGTTGTTCCTCCTGAGAGGGTCCATCCGTTGCGGGAATCCGAAACAGCGCGAGGAGTACGAGTTCTCGCGGGTCTTCGGCCCGGAGGAAGACAACCAGCGCCTCTTTGCCCAGCTGCAGGCGTGCTTGCCTGCTGACATCTATTCAAGTGGACGAAGAAACCATACGAATTTGTGTGGTGTGTCAAGGCCCTGTATAGAAAACGTCACAAGCCTCTGGCTACAGAGTAATCATGTTTGGGTAAGGCAATGATGCAACATGGCGCAGAATGAGGGTAGATAATTTCCTTGGGCGGATTCTTTCGGCAGTGTTCAATGGTCAAGTTTCTATTTTACAGCAACCGCGGAAGTGAACTTGATAAGATGACCCCCCCTGGCGGCCAAATATTGGCCGCTGTCTCCCTCATAGTTATCATTGCTGGCAGGGCCCCGCCATCACCGACAGCATCTTTGCAGGGGTGAACGAGACCCTGTTTGCCTATGGCCAGCCGGGCCTACAGCAATGCGCGGGAAACGTGAATGTTGTTGGCCTTTCACCCGCAGTTCACAATGAAAAATGCGGACATGACATGGTGACACTCTCAGTCAAGCACAGCAAGCTGGCCCACTATGTACAGTTGCCAGTGGTTTGAGATACTCAGCTGTGAAAAGCACATTGGCACTGACTGAGGACAGGAAGTGGCAAGACTCACACTATTTTCGGAAGCTACTCGGCTTGCACGGTAACACATATTGCCAATAATATATGTCTGAGACGTACTCATGATGGGAATAGGAGTCGACCAGTGCAAAGACTCAGCCCACACCATGAACAAGCAGCTACCTGCCCAAGGGTTATGAGCAGATACTGCTGGGGATCAAGGTTAGTCACAAAGATTAGCGCTCAGGCGCATCTTCCCCGGGCCTGCTGGAGCTTTTTGTGCAGCAGGTCTTCGACACTGCATCTCTCCGTGCCGGCAGCGCAGTACACGCCTGCTGCCCCTCGGATGCGTTTCGTCCAGGCAGGGGGTCCTTGTTTTATCATAAATACTTGTTGGACAGAATTTGAACATAGCCCTTTTGGGCAATTTTCGGATTCATATGTTTTTGTCAGGGTGTTGAATTCATGAAGGGAGAGCATAAGCACCCCTCGAGCTTGTCGGCGGATTCCGGGGCCTCTTTGAAAGGCTTTCCATTAGTGGCCTTCCGTGAGCTTCCATGTTGGCCAAAGAAAGGGGGGGAATTCACATGTGTCTTGCTTCATTAATGTTGACCTTTGCTCCCCACCGTGTCCATCCCACATCCTCATACGACATCCTCATACGCGAGGGAAATTCATTACCAAGCAATTTCCCAAATCGGACCAAGTACAGTTGGTACTGAACCCTTTAGGTGCCGAGGCCGACAGTTCAATTCCCGCCGACTTCGTCCGCTGCTCTTCGGGCTCACTCAAGCGAGAATGAGAGACTCTGAGGCTACGAGGTGCTCGGAGATTCTCTGACCGACCTGATTGCGGCTCGACAAAGATGCGAGTGACCCAAGTTTGGGCTACCGGGACACCTTGTTGGCCGTACCTGACCCTTTCTAGTTTGCAGCAGTGGGTGCTGTTCAAGCATAAATCAGCGGCAAGCGATGAACACGTGGGGCAGGAGTAGAACCACCC